TCATTGAAGTTGAAGGTATATTTGGATTACATGACTTTGAGGTTGATCCTGAATAATTGCAAGAGGAAGGGGAGGAAGAAGAAAATGATGAAGACAAATAAGAAAATGAAAAGGAAGAAATCGAGGATGAAGATGAGGATGTGGATGATGAAGAATAAGAAGAAGACTTTAGTTTTTAATATAATTAGGAAAATAATGTCTTATGATCTTTATTTTATAACAAAGACATATTGTATCCATATTTATTATGTGTAATGTTATTAAGTCTTTGTACTTAAATTGATGTATGTTTCTACATCATGATTTATGTATAATTTTATTTTCCTATAGATATGACTACAGGAGGTTCTGACTCACCTAAACTCCCACCCTATGGTGGGAATAAAGGGAAAGGGATAACAAAAAGAAAGAGGTCACGTTATGTTTTGAAGGTAGTTCCCACATACATACTGTCTCCACTTGTTGCACCTTATCCATCAACATCCTCTCTTGTAGGATCTACGCCATTCCCTTCAGTTGTGCCTACTGTATCCACACCGTTGACAACACCATCCACTTCTGTTATACCATCCATACCATCCTCAACTCCGATTGTGACACCACCTTATCCCCAACCCCAATTGTGGGACCCAACTCATCTCCATCACGATCCCTGCTACGGTGTCAGGTCCTTTCACCTTTGAAGGTTACTCACCTACACCGATTTCATCCCCACATATTGTAGTTAAAACATCACAGTCTAGTGGGGATGTTGATTCAGAGATTGGAGAAGATGACCTTACTCTCCATGATCGACCCATGATTGAATCTTATGGTCGAAGGTAATATTTATATTCAATTCTTAATATATATTATAACTAAGTTTTAGTTCTTTTCACTATATATATATATATATATATATATATATATATATATATATATATTGTATAACTTTTTCTTTAAAATTAGGTTTCTTCTGTCTAGGGTTGCATCACAAGTCGTTACAAAGAGTATTTAACAACAATTCCTTCAGCCTTGGATGACATGGGGAGTGATTCCTGATAGTGATAAGGAGTCTTTCTGGCAATGCTTTAAGGTCACTTAAAATTGTTAACTTAATTATTTGTTTAATTCTTATTGTTAGCTTTTATTTATGTACTTATATGTATATAATTCGTATAACAATGTTTACTCTTATAAATGAAGGTTTATTGGAGACCAAAACATGAAAATCAAATAAAGAAGAATTTTCATTCCAAAGCATCTCACAAACTTAGTGAGATGTTTAGGAACGCAAGAACTGCTGGCCAAAGGCCAGATTGGATTGGAGAACATGTTTGTAGCAAGTTTTTAGAACATTGGAGCTCACCAATGTATCACTCCAAATGTGTGCAGACCCAAAAGAATAGGCATATGGAAAGGGGGGAAGCCTACACACAGGTGTCTCCATCACCACACATGAACATGTCATGCGTATGGTAAGTCTTTTAAACATATATTTAGGATTATATAATGTTAAATAAGTTGTATATAATTCTTATTTTGTCAATGTAATGCAGACAAAGGAGCTTGGGAGATCAGTGTTTGTTGATGAGATCTTCCAGCAGACCTATATAAACAGGTCAATTTGTTGATGAAAGGTCTAGGAAGACACATGTAAGTTCCTTCACTTTTGATTTATTTTATGATATGTAAAGTTGATCATATCACAACATTTCTTTGTTTGTACTAATAGGAGGAATTTGAGACTAGACTTTCACAAGCTAGGTCATTTGCTGGTTCCTGTGTTGACGAAGCAAAGTCTACTTCTACAGACTCTGCAGAGGATGATCTTATTAGGTTTTGCTGTTGAATAGAGCTAGACAATTTGCTCATGGTTACCACGGTGGGTCTGATACTCTCAAGCATCAGACTCAAGCATCCAGCTCCTCTGTTGATTTTGAAAAGATGAATCAACTGAGGGAACGATTATCTGCACAAGAAGAAGAGAGTTGTCGAACAAGGGAGCATAATGAGCGACTAGAGCACCGGTTTCGAGAGTTTCAATCATTTGTGGGTGTAGTCATTCAATTTCTACCTCCTGGTGCACAATCCCTCATTCAGCAGCGCCAACATAACCAACAGGATAGTTAACAACAACAACCTCAACAACAAGAAGATAATAAAGAACAATAGGACAACCCAGAACAAGAAGACAATACACAACAAGGGCAACAATCTCTTGATTATTTCCATTATTATATATTTTCAGATAATATTTTATTTGACATTATTCTACTTTATAACCATAGTTATTCTTACACATTCAGTTTCATTATAGATAATTTGAACTATATGTCTTGAATAGAGGTTAATTTGCATTATGTTTGATTTCAATTGAAGTTATTTGTCTTATATTTAAGTTGAATTTGATTTGAAATAGTTGAACGTAATTTGGTGTTGCATGTGGTATAAAATGTGTGTTATTATGCAGGAAAATGATTTACTGGAACATGGAAGAAATTTGGATATTACTAACGAATATTTCTGACAAATAATTCGTCAATAATTGGCTAGTCAACAAAAATAGGTTTTAACGGATATATCCGTTAGTAATTATCGACGGATCGAACATTTAATAATTATCGACGGATATATCCATTAGTAACAACTACATCCAATACAATAATCAAATCCTTTTACCGGTAGATAACTCTGTTGCTAATTATTTACAATACTTTATAACGGATTTATCTATTGGTAATTACCGACGGACTATTCAAGTCCATCGGTAATTACCTAAGACAACACTCAAGATTAATACTCAACATATATTGTTACTTTATTATGAATTCTCTAAAGAAAAGAGAAGGTTCCTTTTGGAGTAAAAAATAAGAAGGATAAAAATAAAAAAGAAAAAAATTTTATCGGTTGAAAAATAATTTAAAAAGGTTTTTATACCTACCATCATCACTCTTGAAATATGCCTCATAATTAAAATTATTTTATAAATTTATTAATATTTTAAATTATATTTCACATTATAATGGGAGAGTTTTAAATATATATTTGACATTTCTATGTCAATTTTATTGATCAAACAATTTAGAAAATATGAAATTTCTATGTGGAGAAAAATCTTCTAATATGATCTACAACCTCTAGGCATTTTCCTTCCCAAAGATTTAAAGTTTCATAAAATCAGAGAAGAATCCAAACCTGGATTGAAGTCGAATGAGTTTTAAGCATGATCGGTGAAGGTTACAAAATCTTAGTTTCATTATGTTATAAGCATAACATATTCATCCGAAATTTATCATGATTAAGATATGAATGGTCATATAATCATTGTATCTTTATTTGTTAGATAAAATATTTATTGTTGAACAAAAAATTATAACTAATAATTAATATAACAACTCATTTTATTTGCGAAATATTATGATTTAACCTTGGTAGTAAGTTGTAATATTATTATTTTAAAAATAATGATAATATATAACTTTTATTTTGAAATATAGATAATATAAAATTTGAAAAATAACAGTTAATTAAATGTTAAAGATTATATCTAAAATGCTTGTCCTCCTGGGTAGATCCAATTAATCATTGCAAATGATTCTGGTTTACCTTTAATTGTTCACTGTTATTTTGATTTTACGTATGGATGGGGCAGTCCCTAGCAAATGTGAAATATGAATGATAATGGTGTACCAAAGCTTCCAAGAATCCCAAGCCATTGTATAGTGAAGAAGAAATTAAGTTAACGATTTGGAGGGAGAGAGGAGGTTTCTCCCTATAGCTTTTTTTTTTTGGAAAAGTGGAGGTTGTGAGTGGCTAGCTAGCTGGCAAAACCCTAGTTTGAATGATAGGTATTAATCAGAAAAGTTTAATTTAATTAACAGTGATATTCTTAACGAATCTAGGTGAAGATTAGCTTCTTCTATATCCCTCTCTTCTCACAAATAAAAAGACAAAAGCAGGCACTTAGATTCCTTGTCCCTCTTAATTAATTTATTTTTGCGTACATGTAACTCATTCATTAGTTGAGAAGGCTATTTTTAGTGAAATTATTTCTTCTAATCACAACTTTTGTATTAACCGTTTAAGTTTTGTCCACCAGAGGCATTTCAACAAGCACATAAGCTACAACACTTTTTTAGGTCTTAAGACAGTTACGTAGCACTACTTTAAGTTTTGCTTCGCCATGATCAAAACTGTTTAGTCAAATAAAATTTCTTGGAATGATGGGAGCTAGCTCGGTTGGAATCTCTAGTGTATGAATTAAGTGTTTTTTGTCTTTACGTGCAGTAGGGGATGAGCCAGTTGAAGTCAAATTGGTGCATGCAGATGCAACAAACAACATTCACATTGCATGTGATGTGGACCAGAATTTCAACCGCAACAAACATACATAAACCTACTGTCATAGCCTTTTCTTTCTTCCCCGAATCTTAATTAATTAACAGTAATTAATAACGCGAGACGAAATGTCATGGGACATGCCTTGGTTACCTCGTCCAACCAAGTTTGCACTGCCCCTTCCATGTGTTTTTCACATGTCTGGTTTCAGAGAAAAGTACGTGGCTCAGTAACTTGTCTACTCTATACATCTAAGTCCATTGTCAAGTGTCATGTCTATTAAATTTTATATCCTGTTACCAGCGACCAAGATGGAAATTTTTATTCATGTCAAACCACTCAAAAATTGATAAACCATACCAGCCACAAAGAGGAAAGTGAAGTGGAATATTGCTAGGTAACCAAATGAGAGAAAGTTGAAGAGTAACATGTTATGAGATCTCTACTCAAGTGTGAAAATGGAGACCAAAACCAATGTCCAAAGCTTTGTGTTTTAGTATGTGAAAGCATTGAAATTCCCCCTTAAAAAAGGAGGTGATTAGGACAGCACTTAGGTGGGTCTCATGGGTGGCTGGCCCTGTATTCAGTAACCAATACACCTCTTCACTCACTGTGATAGTCAAATAACAGGAGACAAAATTGCCATGACTTTGGTAAGGCACCTCATCAACTTACCCTTAATGGGGATTCTGCCTAGGCCTAGTGACACCACATGGATGATCCCCCCAAATGCCCCCTCTAGGCCTGCCCTCTCTTTTCAGTGGCAAATGGTCAAAGTGGAAGTCACTTGGATGAAACACCACCATATGCTTGCATTAACTACCCTGAATCTGCTCTGCACTCAGCACCAACATAAACAGATATGGGATAACACAATCCTATTTTTTGTTTTGTGTGGAATTATCATTGCCCTTTAGCTTATCACAAGCCATACCCTAATCACCACCATTTTTTTCTTTCGTTAGGTTTAGGACCACATCTCAGAGGTTTTCGTATTGGAAGATGAACATGAATTGATTGATGTTGATCTTGGGGAATTTCAAGCCAAATAACTTCTTTTGCGAAGATACTGCCATACACTTAAACAATTCAGGGAAAAATTTGACCAATTTGACATTGAGCTTATTCCCAAATAACCAAGTAATAATAAGGTAGATGTCTTCTCAAAATTGGCAAACACCGAGACAAAATCAGGACAACTTTGAACATGAATTTAAGAAACTTTATTGTCTCCAAATTGTGATGTAGAATAATTTTTTACCATTCAAGGTAGTTTATATGATAAAAAATACCAAATAACTATGAAGAATATAAGATCATATAGTTATATTTGTAAATTCTAAAGTGACTTGATCATCAAAATTTATTTGTTAGTGAACTTTCCATCATGCTGCACTCTTCATTTATAACTAACACGGACTGAATATCAATGTAAGTTTTTAACTTTATGCAACAAACTAATAAAAAAACCAGTTAAGGCTTTTACAATTTTATCTGTTCAGTATTTTATTTAAAAAAAATACTTAAATCAAATATAAAAATTATATTTATTGACTATCTTCTTGAAAGATAAAAAAAGCTGTGGATTGATTAAAGTTTTATAATTTTCGTATTAAAGGTTTATAACTCTCGTATGTGTTTTATATATTAAATATATTTATTTATATATTTATAATATTTTCTTTTTACTATTTTATCTTTTTATTTATTTTATTTTATTTATTATTTATTAATAATATATTATTTATCCTTAAACTAATTTTTCTTTTTATTTTTTTCTTTATAAAATTGTTAATAATTTTAATGAAAATTTATCAAATAAGTACATTTTTTTATTTGTTATCATATTCTTATTTTCAACTTGTTTTCATGATGATAGACAAAATTACATTTTTCTGTAGTTTTTTTTAAACATGATATTATGATTAAAAACCTTCATACAAGTTTATGTTGATAAATATAATTTCAATTACAAGCATACTACAGTATAGAAATTATCAGGTGTAAATGAAAGTTTTTACAAAAAATTAAAATAATATAAATTATTTTTAGCTTTGTTTTTCGAATTGCAAAGTCTTCTATCAAATATAAGCGATTCTAAATTTTTTCGAATGGCTAATTTATTCAACTTGTCTCATAACATTATATAAGATTTAAATTATCTAATTTTGAAACCTCTTTTGATAAGAAAAACAAATCAGCTACTGTAAATAATATTTTATAATAGATAATCACACATTTGGAAAAGGGTTTTACCTTATAAAATGTGTCATTTCTTCTATACTATTATCTTTTTATTTTATTAGTTCTCTTAACACTGATTAAAACCAATATAAATAGGTTTCAATTAATCAATTATAATAACTATAAATTTTTGTATATCCACTCATAACTCTAAAATTAAGACCACAATCCATCGCATTCTTGTTATTATTCATAAATTATATAGATTTAAAATTATATATTAGTAATAACTGAAAAACAAATCTAAGTAATAACCTTGATTATCTTACTATTTCATTAGTATAAAATATATTTTATTTTTTTCTTGTCGAATTAATAAATATCTAACATATTTGAAATTAAAATATTTTTCTAAGGTCAAGTAGCACAAATGATGAGAGGAGGTGAGGGGATCATAGTCCCCCAAATTTTATAATTTTCTATATTTAATAATTATTAAATATATATTTATAATGTTTACTCTCATATTTTTATATTTTTTTTATTAATAATAATAATATATTATTTTATCTTCAAAATATTAGTTAAGATTCATCATGTCAAATCATATGGACCAAAAAAATTAAAATTTACTTGGACACATGTAAATATTAATTTTTAGGTTGATCATACGAACTTCAACCTAAAATTTATTTTATATTTTTTTAGACTTTTTTTCCGGGTTCTTTGTATCTAAAAATACTCTCCCTTTTTTTTTTTCTATTCACTTCTATGTGTTATGTTCTTATGGTAATTAATTTTTAATGTTATTATGATTTTTTTTGTTAGGAAAGAAATCAAATGAATCCAAGAAAGTGAAGAACAATAAAAGAATTCCAAAGGACATAAGACGAGAAAAATGAAGTAATATACGAAAAACAAGTGGAAAAAAATAACTTGAGAGGAAAAACTAGAGGAAGAAAAAAATTAGAAATTACTCCTTCACCACCACCGTACAAGAAGAAGATCTCAAAAGAAGAAAAATTCAAGTAAGATTTTTTTTTTATATATAATGACCTATTATTTTTCTCCCTAATTCTCTCACAAATAATAGATTTTATTTTACATCCAATTTTGACAATTGTAAATTTATATTAATTATTTAAATATAAAAAACTCAAAATAACATGAAAACTTCTTATCTAATAATAATTACATATAACTATATATTAGTTACTACTTAATACATATCGTATATATATTATTATATTTAAATATAATAATATATTTAGTTCATTTTGTTTCAATTTTTTATTTTCAAACTAAAAATCAAACTGAATAGAACAATTGGAAATAAAAAACGAGTCCAGAAAATAAAAAGATTTTTTTATCTATTTGTTGATAAATTATTTAAATTTGTCAAACACTCTTAAAAAAAAAGGTGAAAATAAAACAACTTTTTTTTTTCAAAGATCAAACTTCTTATTTTAAAAGATCAAACTTGCAACCAATCTTACAAGTCTAACCATCCATGTAAAAATTAATTAGTATACTCATTAACATTTTTTTAATCAATTTTGTAGCCAACACGATCACAAGGATGTGTCCCTTATAACATATACCATGAGTCATGATCTCATCAACTATGTGGCCGTTGTAGGTCTACAAATGGTGAGAAAAATGTTGGAGTGCATAATAATAACAATTAGTGGATGGAAGTAACACATTATAGGTAAAAAAAAAAAATAGACATTTGGTGAGGGTTATTTATGAGGTGCAACTAAAAAAGTGGAAGCAAGAGCAGAAAAGAGAGTGGTAGCATAATGAGAGAAGTGTGAGGCAAGAGGTACAGAACAGAGACGGAGGCACGTGGGGAGGGACATTAGGGCGGCACGCGACCGTAAGACACGCGTGTGTGCTAGCGCATCATAATACCGTTCGCTCACGAAACACCCCAATCACACCCTTCGCCTTCCTTAAACCATGTGGTCGTGCATGAATCGTCTAATTTATTATTATTTTTAATTATTTTTTTAAATTAACATAAAAGTTTATCATAACCATATGAAGATTATTATACCAGCTGATATCAAACTGTTATTAGATCAAAAAATGAATATTGAATTCACATGGTGCGAGTCCCATCGGTTTCCATTATTCTGTGCCAGATAATTTGAAAATGCCCTTCCAAACATTTCCATGCTTTTGCCCCGTTGTCTCCTTCTTCACCTTTTTCTCCCTTTATTTATTCCTTTATGTATAATTATCATGATTCGAAAATTACAAATGTTAACAAAAAATAATGGGATGGAAACATTTATTTAACCAAAATATTATTATCGTCCAACATTGAATCTCTTAGATTTAAATGGCAGTTTTTAACTGTGTTTATCTTGTTTCATCTTTTTGAGTCTTTTTTTACTTCGTTAACCATTTCCAATCTGCAGATTACTTCTTGTTCATATTTCTTAGAGTGTTCTTCATAAGAAACAAATATTATTATTGAAAATGGGTTTCATAATCTTATCTTTTATTGAAGATGATAAACTTCAAGCTCAAATATTAGATGAATTCAACTCTAGATACATATGATCTTCGTAATATAATAATAATAATTATTATTATTATTTATTTTCTCTTCTATTTTATTTTGTATTTAAATTTAAATATAAAATAAAAGAGAAAATTCGCATTATCTGAACTCAATTTCTTAGATAAAAAAAAGTCGATTCCGATTAACTTAAAAAATTATTATTTAAAAATATAGTATATCAATATATATATATATATATATATATATATATATATATATATAATGGAGAATATAATATTTCTTATTAAAATACAATTTGAGATATGTTGTATTATATACTGAGAATTTTAATAAAAAGAAAATTTCGACTTAAAATTAGTATAAATAAATTATTATTAAGCAATGTAAGATTTTATATAATTTATTAACGTGTTTAGATATTTTTCCAAATCTAAGTTGTCCATGGACGCATAAAAAGAGTAATTATGGTTTTTACCATGGAAAATTTGTAAATATAATTTAATTTTATAAAAAAAGTAAAATATTTGTATAATAAAACATCACTTTTAAATTTTTTTATTAAGTTATTAATTTAATTATTATAAATAATTATTTTTTATTAAATCTTGATAAAAATAAAATATGAGATAAATATTTATATATTCATATGTATAAATAAATAAATTTTAAAAGTTTACATTATTTTTATATCAAACACCACTATTAAAGTTGACAAATATTATTTTACTCTAAAAATATTGATTTATTAATTATATTTATCTTTTTGGTTGACATCTTCATCTATTTAAATTAATATTTTAGTTATATAAGACAGAAGATATAAAATAGGGAAGTGAGAATAAATATTATATATAAATATATTATCTTAAAATAATATACAAAATTAACTTTTCAAATTCATCAATATATTCTATTTATTTTATTTTAGAAAGATTTGAATTGATTTTTGAAGTTACTAATCCACATAAATAAACCCAAAATGAATAACTCTTTAATGATATTTACCTGTTTCAATATATAAGGTCTAACATTTAATTATAATGTCATCAAACCTTCATAAATAAAATATTATTCCTAAAAAATATATAAAACCATTTAATAATATAAATATAAATTAAAAAAAGAAAACAAATGTACAACTTGAGATAAAATAAATAATATAAAAAAACAAATAAATAAAGAGGAGTAGTGTGTAATTGAAGATAAATAAATAAAAAAAGATCAATACTTAAGTAGAAATAAATAAATAAATATAAAATACGATCTATACATAACTAAAATAAATATAAAATATAGGAGGGGACAAATGCATAATCGAAAATAAAATAAATAAATATAAAATAAGATCAACGTGTAATTAAATATAAATAAATATGAAATATAAAAGAAAGTAGTGCATAATTGAATATAAATATAAAATATAACCAAGTACATAATCAAAGATGAATAAATATATATAAAATATGATCATTGCGTAATTAGAGACAAGTTAAATAAGACTAATACATAATTTAAAATAAATAATTACATATAAAATATGTCTATTGTATAATTGGACATAAATCAAACATGATTAGTATATAATTCAAAATAAAATAAATATAAAAGAATAAATAAAATGAAGTCAGTCACTTCACTTAATAATCATAATTATAAATAAAATAATTGATATCTCTAGCCTCTAACCCTTACCTTAGTAATTATACACCAAAATTTTAATGAAATTATTTATATTTTTTATATTTTATATTTTCTCCCTTCCTCTTATTTCTTTTTTTTCTTTCTCTTTCTTTATCTCTCTTACTCTTCTCCTCTCTTTCTCTCTCTCTCTTTCTCAACCCATAACCCCATATATATATATATATATATATAATTTAATTTTCAATTTTTGTTAACATTTAATGCACTGAGATAATTATAAGTCTTTATGAAGAAATAAATAATCTTATTTTTTTAATAATTATATATTTAAAATATTAATAATATTATTATTTATATTATTTATGTATTTTTAATAATAATTATAATATTTTTAAAAAATAAATAACTCTTGTAGAAATATTTAAATTACAAAAAATTATTATAATTTAATATATTTTATTTGAGAGATTTTATATAATAAATTTTAAGGTGTTACATTTTTTTATTTATAAAAATTTCATTGTTAAAAATTTTTATTTACTAAAATAGATGTAAGTAATTTTCTCTATTTTTCTTTTCCAATTTTCACTTAGCATTTTCAGTGACTTCATTCTAAATAACTTTTATTAGTGAAATTTGTCTTTTTCTCAACGACTTGATCTTTGTATCTATAATATGTACAAACATTATTTTAAATGAAAAGTTATCTTTTAATTGTATTATATTAGACATTATTACACGAGAAGGATTAGAAACATATTTTCTTTATTGAGATACACAAAGACATTGTGAAGGTTAGAAAAAAAGAAAGGTAAGAAAATTTTATAAGCACTAGAACCTATTTTTCTAAGAAATTGGTAAGGTCCAATAAATCAGAGAGTAAGTTTCGTTGATTTTATCATTCTACCAATTTTAGTTGTTGGTGTACCTTCTAAGAATACATAATCACCTTATTGGAATTGAACTGGTTGCCTTTTCTTGTTCGCATAACTTTTTTTGTCTACTATGGGTTGTTCTCAATTTTTCCCTAATCATCTTAATTTTCTCTGTGGTTTGTTGAATTATATCAGGATCTAAGATTAACTTTTCTCCAGTTTCAAACCAACATAAAAGTGTTATACATCTTCTCCTATACAATGCCTCATACGGTCATACTTATGCTAGAATGAACATTGTTATTGTAAGTAAATTCAATCAATAACAAATATCAATTTCAACTACTAAAATCTTCTAGCACACATGCCCTCAATAAATTTTCAAAGGACTGGATGATCATCTCTGACTGCTCATCTGTTTAAAGATGATAAGTTGAGCTAAGATGAAGTCTAGTTCCTAATACTTGATGTAAACTCTTCCAAAAATTTAGAAGTAAATTTGCGATATCTACTAGATACAATACTAGATGTAACTTCATGCAATCTCACAATTTTTGTTATGTATAATTCAATTAATTTTTTCAATGAATACCTATTGTTAATGGGTAAGAAATAAACAAACTTTATTAACTTATCCATGATATCTCATATGGAATCAAATATTTGAATTACTCATGGTAAACCAACTACAAAATTCATTGTTATACTATTTCATTTTCACTTAAGTATATTTAAGGATTGTAGCATTTATGTTGACAAACTAAGCATGTTATTACATATTGTGCTACTTTCTTCATCATTTTATGTCACAAAAACATTTTTTTAACATCTTTATACATTTTTGTTGTGCCTAGAAGTGTGCTCAATTTGTTCTTATTTTCCTTCTAAAATTAACTTCTTAACCTATATATCATTAGACATACATATCCTACCATTAAATTTCAAAATTTCTGACTTATCTGAAAGCAACGAGGGGGAGATTGATGACAATGTGAAACATGTTCCTACATTTTCAAGAGATGATTTTGATGATGATTCAAGCGAACAACATTCAAGACTCAAGCAAATCCAATATATGATTTTGATAAAGATTCTATTCAACATTCAAGGAAGCCTAAGATGATTTATGAAGATTAGATAGAGTCTTAGAATACTGGATATGGAGGAACAAGTTGATGAAGTAATATTATGCATAAGCCTCTAAAACACAAGTGTGATAAAATTTCATAACATGACTTTTTTCATCTGTCATAATTAATTATGATACATCGAAATAGAAAAACGATTTTCTCTATCATAATTGATTATACTGGTAACATAATCGATCATGGCAGTTCAAATTTGAAAAATATCCATTTTGAAGAATAAATATTTTTAAATACATAATTTTTTATTCACGAAAATATTAATGTCCAACGACCATTTTCTGATGCTATTTTTCTATTTAATTAAGTTTTGATGGAAAATAAAAAGCACACAATTACAGAATTCGAAAATACAATTTACATTGAATCAGTTTTGAGAAAAGAATTCTGAGCAAGACAACAAAGATATTTTACATGTTTTGAGAAAACCCTCTTCTCCATTGTCACATAGATATTTTACTAAAATCCTCTTCTCCATTGCCTACTGTGCTTTCATTGTTAATCACACTTGTTCTTGGAGGTTGGCTTGGAGGTTAACATTCTACATGTTTCTACAATTTGTTGTCTCCATTACCCAGGTGTGACTGTTCTTGTTTTATTACCTTCATTCTTTGTGGGCTTCAGTGATTGATTGTTAAATTCCCTGTTTAGGGTTTAAGTAGTCACTGTCATTCTGTTGTATTTTTTTAGGGTTTTCTGTGTG